GTGTTATTGGACGAAGTGGCGAAGGTGTTTGAGCGAATAATCGCCAACCGCCTTGTCCATCACATGGCGACAGTCGGCCCAGACCTGGACGACAAGCAGTTCGGATTCAGACCAGGCAGGTCCACGGTACACGCGATCGCGAGGGTTAAAATGATAGCGGAGCAGGCAGTCGCCCAGGGCAGGGTCGTTCTCGCGGTGTCTCTGGACATCGCGAACGCATTCAACACCCTGCCCTGGAGTTGCATCGTCGAGGCCCTCCACTATCATCGGGTACCGAATTACCTGGTTCGCATCGTGGCCGATTACCTGTCTGAGAGAACGGTGTCGTTCAGAGGTCGTAACGGGTGGTGCAGTCACGAGGTCACGTGTGGGGTACCGCAGGGCTCGGTCCTCGGACCCCTCCTTTGGAACGTGGGCTATGATTGGGTCCTTCGGGGCTCTCTCATACGCGGTGTTGACGTGACGTGCTACGCCGACGACACACTAGTGACGGCGAGTGGGGCCACACACCGGGACTGCGCAATCCTCGCGACGGCGGGAGTAGCCCAGGTCGTGGGAAGGATTCGGGCTCTAGGGCTAGAGGTTGCCCTCCAGAAATCAGAGGCCCTTTTCTTTCACGGTCCTCGGAGAAGACCTCCCCCAGGGTTGCGCATAACGGTTGGCGGAGTCGACATAAAGGTCGAGCCCCACATGAGGTATCTGGGCCTCTTACTTGACGGTCGATGGACCTTTGAGGGCCACTTTCGGCAGCTTGGCCCCAAACTTCTTCGAACAGCCGCGGCACTCGGCAGCTTGCTGCCCAACGTCGGAGGCCCCAAGGCGGCGTGCCGTCGCCTGTTTATGGGGGTTGTCAGCTCGATGGCGCTATACGGCGCACCGGTCTGGAGCGGCGCCCTCAACAGGCGAACGGTGGACATCCTACATCGCCCGCAGAGGACAATGGCGATCAGGGTGGTGAGAGGATACCGCACCATTTCCTTGGAGGCGGCCTGCGCCCTGGCTGGTTCTTTGCCATGGGTGTTGGAGGCGGAAGTGCTGGCGGCGGTACACGCGTGGCGTGAGGATCGAGTCCGAATTGGCGGATCCGTGCCCCCCAGAGTCGAAGTCGATAGATTTCGCCAATGCAGACGCGAAGTGGCAGTGGCCAGTTGGCAATGCCGCCTCCGCGAGCCGAGGGCTGGTGTCAGAACGGTTGGGGCAATTGGCCCAGTTCTGGTGGCATGGATGAGGAGGGAGCACGGCGCGGTAACCTTCCGTCTGGCGCAGGTACTGTCGGGACATGGCTGTTTCGGCAGCTATCTGTGTCGGATTGGGAGGGAGCCGTCCGCGCAATGCCATCACTGCGCTGATTGTCCTGTTGACACGGCACAGCACACGCTGGCGGAGTGCCCTGCCTGGGCGATGCAAAGACGGGATCTAGTGGCTATAGTGGGCCCGGATCTTTCGTTGCCGACGGTAGTTCGGAGGATGACGGAGTCGGACAGAGCCTGGAGGGCCGTCCAAACATTCTGCGAGGAGGTGATGTTGCAGAAAGAGGATGCGGAGAGGCTGAGGGAGGCGTCTAGCCTGGACCCTAATAGAAGCAGCCGCCGCAGGGGGGGGAGGAGGAGGGCTTTTGCCCGACTCATCCCTCCCTAACCGTACTAGAGTGGCG